CCGGGGGCAGCATGAAGTCCCTGCTCTTCAGCCGCTTCCTCCTGCTGCTGCCCTGGGTGCTCATCGTCATCATCGTGCTGGACATCGACAGCAGCCGGGCGCCGCTGCCCGCGCTGTCCCCCCGCGGCGGGGCCGAGGGCGGTAGCGGCGGGGCGCGGCCCCCCACCCCGCGGCGGCGGCCCGAGGCGGCGCTGCCCACCATCTATGCCATCACGCCCACCTACAGCCGCCCGGTGCAGAAGGCCGAGCTCACCCGCCTGGCCAACACCTTCCGGCAGGTGTCGCGGCTCCACTGGATCCTGGTGGAGGACGCGGCGGCGCGCAGCGAGCTGGTGACCCGCTTCGTGGCGGGCGCCGGGCTGCCCTGCACGCACCTGCACGTCCCCACGCCGCGCCGCTACAAGCGCCCGGGGCTGCCCCGGGCCACCGAGCAGCGCAACGCCGGGCTGGCCTGGCTGCGGCAGCGGCACCAGCACCTGCCGCCCCCGCAGCCCGGGGTGCTCTTCTTCGCCGACGACGACAACACCTACAGCCTGGAGCTGTTCCAGGAGGTGCGTGCGGGACGGGGGGGGGGCGCGGCCGCCAAGCTCCACCGCTTCTCWCGTCTCCATCCCCGCTCCCCTCGGGCTCCTGCCGTTTCCCCTCCTCAGGCTCCCGCCGGGGCTGTGCCCTTTCCCCGCTTTGCGGCGCGCTCCGTGACCCCTTACCCCAAACCTCAGGCACAGGAGAGTCAAGCTCACTACCCGGTGCGGAGACCACGCATCTCCTGTCCCTCACCCGGGCTCCGCGGGTCTGCCTCTGTGTGACAGCCGCTTTCTTGACTTTRAGTTTCTTGTACCTCCCCTCCATTCTCCCCCAACTTTTTACTGCTGCCGAGCGAGGCAAGGTTTATATAAGGGATCCCGTGTTTTTGTTAAAACTAGGTTCAGAAAGCGCTCWTTGATAGCTATTTTCTTCAGGCTGCATCCTGAAAAACCCTGTAGGGCAAACATGCATCAGGAGTCGCCAACCTTCACAGTTTTTTTCCTTGGCGCTAATGAATTCATCCAGAGCCGGCTTCTTCGTGTGGAGTTGCCTTTTTGAAGCCTTTCGCTCTTAAAAGCAGCAAATCGTTTGTGTAACGACTGAACGCCCTTTCAGGAGTCTCTTTTGTGAAGGGACCTGTTTTCGTCTTTATTGCCTCCCCTTGGTGAAGGGCTTTGTTTCATTTTGGTGGGAACTGGCAGGCGCTCGGGGCRGAGGGTATCCGGCTTTCTTTCTGGGTTCCCCCTGGCAGGAAGGAGGGTGTTTAATAAGTGGACATAAAACGGTAGAAGAAAGATCGTGTACATCTTCTGTGACAGCGAGGAGAGTAACCTTGGCAGGGAAATGAGGGGGGAAACAGAAAGTTGGCAGCACGGGACCTCGGACATCCTGCGGTCTGTGTGTTCTGCTGGTGGGCAGAATTGTAGTTAGAGGTGTACATCCGTATCCTGCCGCTTGCTCTTCCTCGCGTGCTTTACACTCAGTGAATTAAAACGAACGTGATACGCGGAGGAGTGAAGCACATGCAATCCCCTAGAGGAAGCTGCTTCAGAAGTGCTTAGGTTGTTTTGTGTTTAGGCTCATAACGCATCCTTTTCCATTTCCAGTGTGTGGGCAGGTGCAGGGTCCCCATTCAGCAGGGATRCCCTACTTCTGCCCGCTTGGCATTCAGCATTGAAGCTGCTAATTTAAGGACCTTTGCCTAGAGGCTAAACCTTTGTTGCAATTGATTTTTTAAAATTCCCATAGCTGTGCTTAGTACATTATAATGCAGAGTAATTCCACGTACCCATCTTTGATGTTGTGGGAGTGCTCATGTGTATTGCAGATTCAAGGCTAATTTGTCTGAATCTTAGGCAGTCTGTTAATCAAAACAGAAGATACACTTTGATACAATTAGTAGTGAGGGACAAAAGATATTTGGAGACAAATGTCAATTTTTTTTTTTTTTATACCTTTAGTTTAGGGACAAGCTAAAGGAACAATATTGGCAGGCATTTCTCTTGAGTGCCACAGCTTCTGAAAAGGAGTCCAGTCACATTGATTCTTTTATAATTTCTACCATTATTAGACTAATTGCCGTGAATTATGAAACAGAAAGGTGTAAATTACCTTCTCTAATTAGGTAAGGACATTCAGGAAAGCAAAGGGCTAAAGCTGTCTGAAGGGTTAACCTTGCAAATTGCAAGCACAAGAGATAACCTGTGTTTCCTGTTGCTAACAAGAATTGTAACCTCCAGCATGAAGCTCTGCAACCCTAAGACTTCCCTTCCCCCTGCGTTCAGCTGCTGGGAAAGAGGTGTTTGTTGTGAGCCTTGTGCTCAAGGCAGACACACATGCACGAATGAATTTTCCCTGGGAGACGGGATGCCTGGAAAGCCCAGTAACAGGAGTGGAGAAGGTGCTTTTTCTTCAGTTACTGCTAGTAGTTCCTGGGACTGTTTTTTGGGGTCAGTGACTGTTTTTTGGGCTCAGTGACTGCTTTTTGGGCTCAGTGACAGTTTTTTGGGGTCAGTAAGGAGCTGTTGGCAGGGTCTCAGGATGCTGCTGGTGGTAACACAGGGAATGCCTTGCCGACCTGGCAAAGCTAACGAAGTCCATTGACAGGCTCTGCCAACGGGATGTGCCTTTACATGGGGGAGGTTGCATTTAGAGTGAGCCAGGAGCCTGATTTCTCAGTAGAGGCACTGCTAGAGGGAGCTGGTTGCTTTTTGACTCGATAAAAGAAAATCTCTGCATTCATGGATTCTGGCTTGACAGCTCTGTGGTAAATCCTGATCTCTCYGTTAGGAATTGATTGATTTATGAGTGTAAATTGTACTTGTCTTCTCCAAGCCTGAAGAGAATAGCTTCAGAATGCATTGTTTGCAGATGAAATCTGGTAGTAATTCCTGTTATGGTGATAACCATACCTGAGAGGGAGTTTTTTTCAGTTTGTTGCCCTGCCAGGAACAATTCTCCAGACCTGCAGTTGCTTAAATCCCGAAGGTGTTCTGATAAAATGTAGTCTGCTCTCTGGGAGGGAGTAGTTTAAATGGAGGAAGATGAGGCAGGAGCTYTGAATTCTCATCCTGTTCCATCCTGTGCTGGCTGTGTGACTTTCAGGATGTCACTGCCACGGGCACAGGGGTTCCACAGTGCCAGCAGCAATGTGTGCATGCATTTGCTGGCCTGTGAAACAGCAGATCTGTCTTGCTGTAGTGGGATKCTTCTGAGTCAGAGCCGCTTTCAGTAGCAGCAGTGAGGGCCTGAGGAGGTGGGAACCAAGGCTAGTCAGTGCTGAAAAGCCACTGTGAGAGAAACATTTGCATTAGGGATGTGTTCTGCTCAGAGGTCACAAAAGCAGGACTGAGGAGCAGAAGGTGAGCAAGGGAACTGCACATGGGTGAGGGATTGTGTTTCAGGCAGCTCTTCTGCTGGGGTTTCCCCAGTGTCCTCTCAGGAGGTGGAGCCTTTTAACAAAGCAAGATCAGCAAAGGCTTTAGTGTGAGTTGTAGGGTATAAACCATGAGGTCATGATCAAAAAGGAGCATGCTTTGACATAGAATGCCRTGGGATACTTCTGAGAGCTTTTGATGGAAAAATTCTAATCTCTGTCCAAAGTACTTCTGCCTGGTACTTAGAGGAAATGAGTGCTTTATATTTGATGTGGAGTGAGCTGGGCCCAGTAGATCTAGGCAAAATGTGTTTCATGGAAATCATGAAAAAAAAACCAAACAACCCAGCTTATAGTAGTCTGGAAAAYGTCATCTTCTGTAATAAATCTGGAACCCTTGGGTGCTGTCTATAATTATCTTTTTTCCTAAGAAATTCAATGGCATGTAGGTGGATAGATCAGTTTTTGACTTGCAAAACGATGTCCTCAAGGTCAMACTGGGCAGGGTCTAAACAGGTTTAGTTGTTTCTAGAATTAGGTGGAGAGCCTGGTTTATCTTTCTGCTGCTACARCATTGGCTCCATTTAGCATTTTGTTAGGAAAGGTTCACCTTCCRTGGAAAGACTCCAGAGAAAGAACCAATCTGTTCAATGATTGCAAAATTCTTCAGAGTACTAAATGGGGCTGCAGTAATGATGAAGAAATATCACCAGGAGTGGAGGTGTGGCTTTTAAGTTATTCCCAACTCTGCTTGAGAGTGTGATGGTAGTCAGATGAAAAATCATGCTTTTGCTTTAATGCCTGTGGTTCTGGCATCTTGTATTTTGTCCTTCATTATTTTGGGATCCAGACCTCAGAAATAATTTATCTATTTTCTGCTCAGGTGTGATCTGTTGACCTGGAGGTGTCCTTCTACATCTCTGCATCAAAAACAAGTCTGCTTTCTGAAAATATCYATTATCAGTTAAGTCAGCCTGCATTCATAAAAAAAGCCACTGAGAGGCCTGAAATCCCAACTATTATATTTAAGATATTTTACAAATGTTTTTACATGACTCACCAGAACTTCTATTTTTTACCACAGGCCGTTCTTTTTGGAGTGACTCTCTTATAGTTTCTGATGCATTTGCGCTTCATTTTATTCCTGAATGCAAGTTATTGTAATATTGTGACTGATGCCTAGCAACTGCCGATTTCACATTTTTAAACTCCCAGAAAAAAACCCCTTAGATAAATCTGGCACTCCACCTTCACAGAGAGATTTTAAAAACAGGATTAACCTAAGCACTRGAAACTAAAGATAGATAGCTGAGTTCCACTTCCCTTAACTCTTCACATAATTCATGTGTTTCTATGTCTCGGGCATTTTTTCTGCTCTTTTCATATTTGGAGTAGTTGGCCAAAGACCATCACTTGCTTTGGTCATACATTTGGATATGTAAGCAAATTGGAGGAATTAGTGTTGGAGATCCTCTCAGCTGTCGATTGTCCAGATTGCCCTGAAACCTTTGAAAGTGAGCATCTTAAGGAGAACAAGAACAGGAGTAAAAGTCTTCAATATCTGTTTGAAAGGGAGCTTGATGAAATTCAAAAATGCATTGAGTTTTAGAGATTCCAGTCTAGGTTATGTCCTTTGSTTGTATTTTGTTCAGACACCTAAACTGAGATGTATTTGAAATTAAAATGCTCATAACTAAAGCTATGTTCTCCCTTCCTGCCACCCCCAAGCTTCTGGTTATGGTTGTCCAAAATTTCATGGCAATGTTTGCTGAGTGCCCAGAGGAAGTGAGTGTGGCACTGCCTTTTCTGAGGGTTAGGAGAGGATTTGAATACTGGGTCTCCTGAGAGAAATCCACGCTCTAAGGTGTGATCTGAATACAGCCTTGCAGCAGGGAATTCAGAATAGATCACAGCCCTAATTGTCATTTCTAAGGAGYAAAAAAACCCAACCCAAACTTCAGTAGCTTAGCAGTTAGTTCTATTGCCCACTGAGTTGTGGTCCAGAATTCAATTTGCTGTAGCTGTTTGCTGCACAAGAGTGCCCTGAATGTGATGGTAGAGCTGGARCTGGAAAGGAGGACACAGAGCTCATCCTGCTCTCCTTAAGCTCAGGTAGTCTTTACAGGCAGCTCAAGAGCCCCAGATTCAGAC